TTTTCCAAAACAACATGTCTGAGCCATCGTACAAGTGGTTGTACTTCCAAACCGCTCCGAATCGAGAAGGACGACCACACAGACAGCTGGAAAGGCCTACCAAGGACCAATCACAGCTGCTTTTTGTCTGCGCACTTCCACTTGAGGTCTGCGCGGGTTTGCGACTGTCCGGCACGTAGTCAGGATTTTTTTGAGGTGAGCAACGACTGCTGCAGGGCCTCTGTGAGGGGGGCGTGGCCGCGCACAGAGGCAGATTCAATGGATGCAGAGGCTATGCGTCAAAAGTATAAATTGGCCTTAGATAGATCCTCATCTTTAACCTTAAACGTATCCATGTACTGCTCTGAAATACTATAGTACTCTTCTGATTGATTCCTCGGTTAAAATAGATTCTAATTCTTTCTCAAATCTCTTTAAAATTACTTTAACTAATCAACACAACTAAAGAAAATACAAAATATAATCAGATAAATCCTGAAATCTGATAAAAAAGGCGGTTTTACAACCTTATCTGCTTATCAATGTGAGTTTTTGGACCCTCACCATTTTCTTTTCCCTTATTAAATTGAATCAAGGTTTCATTTTGTTATGGTCTATAATGCACCTTGGAAATGTTACGCTGTTGTCTTTATGGGTCTAAGCACCTACACAGGAGATTCTTGAGCTATTCAAACCAGGGTCGTTTTCCATAAATGTTTTTTCTAATTGAAATTTAGTTTCAAAGGTAATCCGCTGTTCTTTCCTACTGACACTCACTGATGATGAGGTGCTGTCCTTAGCAGTGGGAGTGGCAGTGTAATGAATGTTTGCCTGTGGAGAAGACAAAAAATTATAACAAAATGAAAATTTGACAGAGCTCTACGTTCTGCAGCGTCTATTTTAAATAAAAGAAGCATTAAAAGGAAGAAATATAAACTAGTGTAGCCTCTTTAGGACAATGCAGGGCCACTTAAAGACTCTTCCCAAGCAATTAAACTCAACCAGATTTTACCATTTTCTACCCCAAAAAGTGGTAAAATTATCCTCTTAATAATGATTGTGCAAAATGTTATCAAGAGAAAATATAAAGCCATAGCTGGTCAGCAGACAAACCGTCTTTGAGTGATGCATATATAGTGTGAACAGCACAAAGCATCAGTAATGAGTTTGCCACAGAGGAGCATTCGCATGCTTGTCAGCCGAGAAGGGCTGAGGAAACTCTAGAAATTATTTTTAATTGATGCAGTCTGTACAGGGGGCCACAAAGCCCACTTACAAAGCGGGTCTCCCTGCCTGCACACAGGGAGCTGTTGGAGGAGTGGTGGCTGGGCTAAGGGTGGGGAAAAGGGTCAAGAGGGACAGCTGTAAAATAGCTCTGTTGGAGAGCTACAAGTGACTCATGAATAATGAGAAGGTAAATTTGAAGGATGACAGGATGGTGGGTGGTGAAATCTGGTGGAAGACGTGTTGGAGCAGCTCACCGGCTGGATGGTGGGAGAATATGGTGCTTCCCTGACAGGACTGTCTGTTCTGGTGTAATCAGAAGGTGTCTGGAGAAAAACAAGAGAAATTAATTAATGAGCTGCTCACATTTTCAGTCAGGAAACCAGAAATTCTGCAGTATTTAATACAACCACAGCTCCATCTGGACGTAGATGGACCTTTATTAGTAAGTAATCAAAATGTTGATTTATTTCAGAAATTCAACACATCGTAGATATGCTATACATAATTCAATTCTATTAGAAAATTAATGGGATGAAGGCAACTAGCAGCAGCTTCATAAAAACCCTGGTTTCTTTGCTAATATCCTTATCCGTGTCTCATATCTTCTGCTTGACAATACTCTGTACAGATCCTCTTTAGGCTCTCCTTGAAGCTCAATTGTCATGGTAGATGGTGTTGGTCTACTGTGTTTTCTAAAGTCCACAGTCAAAACAACCAATAGTTGACATGGCAACCCAAACCATCAGCGACTGGAAACTCGGATGAGTTTTGCTCGACGCCTTTTTGTACCAAACTTTTTCCTTTCATTCCTTCCATTTCATGATTGGTGTTCATGTTTGGGATACAAAAAAAGACCTGCCTCTTTAGCTATGACCTGTTGAGTCTTACCTGCCATTTACAGGTCGTTGGTAGTCTTCTGGTTGATTGTATTGACAAAAATATTTCTGTACTTAAAAATCTTTGAATTAATCTTAAGCAGAAAGAGGATTTTGAAAGGCTGTTCCTTTTTTTTCAGCTGAAATTCTGAAATAAATCAACTTTTCTATTAAATTTATTAAGCTGAAACCTGTAAAGGGTTAGTCGTATTGTGAATATTTAGTTCAAGCACTCGCTGGTTAACATGCACTCCTCTGTGCCGTCCACATTCCTTCCTGCATTATGACCTTCCTTACAGCTGGTGTGCGGTTAAAGATCCTGAATTTCTAAAGAAATGCCACAAGCTGTGCTCAAAGCAAAAGCGTGCCATAACTTCTCCTGATCCAGAGAACCATACACACACAGGCATGGCCAAACATATCCCAGGGGAAAATCATTTCTTTTCTAAATTCTGGAACAACATAAGCTGCTTTGCAAACAGTAACACAGAAATCTTTTATATCCGAAAACTTGGAACTGGGAAGTTTTTTTTATCTTTTTAGAAAAATGCATAATTATACAGAAGGAGCACAGTGAAAGAAACAATGCACAGCAACACAGCATGCTGCCTCCAAACTACTCTCAGCATCTTGCCTTGCTGAATAACCAGGGCTGCAGCTTTCCTTGCTGGCCGTAGCCCACAGGGGGCCCGGACAGGATCTGCTCTCCAGGTGGAAGACCTTTCCCTTTACGGTTCGCTACCAGGAAGGGGTTTTCCCTAAAGCACATAGGCTGTGAGTCCACCAGGCATTCCTCTTCCTCCTCAGGAGAAACGGCCGGCATGGAGTCAACAGCTGTGGCTGAGCCTGGACTGTCATTGATGGTGGGCGTCCCGTTATGGGAGAACTGGAATTCCTTGAGATAGCTGTGGTCTGTGAGGGGTTCGGTGGGTTTGACCAAACCGAAGCCTGCTGGTTCTAAAAGGGCTCCGTGATTGGCCGGCAAGGGGGCCTCCATGGGAGCGGTCGAAATAACAGAAGCAGAGAACTGAACAGGAGCAAAGGAGAAGGAAGAGAGGACTCACAGGAGAATATAGACCCACCAACATTCAAAACTCAAATGGAATAAACAGAAGATTTACACACACCTAAACTTTATCCTCTCATAATAAGGGATAAAGCTTCTTTCACTTGTAAAATGGATAAAAATGTACTTCTATAAATCTCATGTTATAAACAATGATATGTTGAGTATATCCTAAGGATTCAAAGTAAATTCAGGTTTGTAAAAAACAAAATGTTTAAACAGTGATTTCTGGCCACAAAAAACTTAAACTTGAAATAAACCAAATTGAGTTTATTGTTTTGGTGTGGAGCAGCAAGTAGTTTTACAGAGAGGAGCAAACTGGTGCAGGACTAGTTATAATCAGTGTGCAGCTCTAACCAGTCCTTTAAAATAGGAAATTTAAACTAACAGTGCCAAACCCACAAACTAAAGTAAGATGAGGAGAAACGCCTGTGGACCTATGAATAGAAAGCTGACCCAGAAGCCTCAGGCTGCTATAAAGAGTGACTTGCATCACTAAAGCTCTTCAAGCCCTTCAGATGAGTTTCCAAACCCATTTCTTTTAAGTCCTAACTGGTTGTGTTTGCTAACATCCACATTTCAGCACAGTTTCTGCTTAAAATACTCTTAAACTGTTTAACAGGGAGGCTGATTATTTTGCCTCATGCTAACCGATCCCTGTATTGTGTTGCTGATTTAAAGATGAATGATGCATTTCCTAGCTGATGCTAATATAAGGAGAAAAAAAAAGAAGCAAATAACATCTGCCAGCTGATTGATTCTTTTTCTACAGCAAAGACTCAGCTGACTTTACTCTGCAGCCTTACATGATATGTTACAACACTATGAAATGATCAGCAACAATGACGATAGTCTGATTAAAGGCGAAATGGTGACACAGCTCTCCTGGTAATAACCCTAAGAGGCATACGTGTGAGCTTTCCAGGGCTGGAATGCGAGTCAGTGACCTTTTGGCAGCGACGCAGACGTCTGTGAGCGACAGCTGGCTTTTAGAGGAGAGGAGTCAGGCCACCGGCTCGCCAACGTGCCGTGGCACTGAGAGCTGCACAGCTGGGACCCAATAGCAGCATGACGATCAGACGCAGGCGGACGGATCACTGAGCTTTTAGTTTTAGGGAAATCACATCAAGGGAAATTTGATCACAGGTCCTTGTTTTATTTAGCCCTTAAGGAAAAACTGAATAGTTTGGCAACAGCAGAGAGGTTCTTAATGAGGTTCATCTATCACACCGTTTAGCTCACCTCTAACCTGCTCATAGTGTACTCTAATAAAATAAAAACCTCTACCAGAAGGAGGATATAACCAGTTCTTTTGTTTTTTTTTATGAAGGGAAACTGATGCAAACCAGGTAAAGAGGGTATTTAAAAAAAAAAAAATATATATATATATCATATAATTAATTAAACCACCTGAAATTAGAGAAATTTCTTTCTGACTAGTCTTTAGCTGATCAAAAATAATTAAGAGGAATAAAGTAAACCAGGGTAAGTGCCTATGTAGATAATAGAAGTAGGCGGAGTTGAAATGGCAAAGCTTGGGCGCTGAATTGGAGCACTAAGTGATAATGAGTAAATGGACCTAAAGTCCAACAGATCCTTGTTTTGTTTGGCTTTTAACTTTCCCAGCAATGCTCCAAGGACAAAGGAGCGACACTACAAGGCTTTCAGTAAAATAAAATGATTCTACTGCCATATTTAGTCTGCAGCTCATATACAAACCACTAATTTGCAATTTAATTAAAACTCCACAATCTTCTCTACCAAGAGTGATACTCTGTTGTTAAGATTTAGAAGTTCCTGTACTCTGGCTTTCACAGGCAGTTACAGGTAAAATATCGAAACACTGAACCACGTGGCTACGGATCCCACTGCAAGAGCAGCTGCTTATGACATGTACGTTAAGTTCTGCTGCACTCAAAACAGTGATTTACAAATAGGACACTAAACAGAAGCCAGCTACAGCTCAGAAAAGTTGATTAAATATTATTTAACACATTTAAGAGAAAAAAAATTCAAGTCAAGTTGAAAAATAGAAGATATATTCAAGTAAAAAAAAAAAAAAACAGTTTGAAAGAGGCAAAGAGAGGAAAGAAGAAGAAGTGGGAACTTACAGCTGGATGGTAGAAGGGTAAAGCTGGATGTTCAGGACTTTCAGAGCTTGAACCTAAACGTTTCTCTCAGAGGACACCGTCCCCACCAAGCAGACACACTCAGTCCAACTCAGAGCCAGATGCACGTTTAAAATATCACCAAGAGGAGGCCCGCTGATAGTGGGCAGCTGTTCCCCTCCCCCAAGTTGCCCTTCCTCTCTCACGCTTTATTCTTTCACCCCATCGGACCGGGCCTGCACTTCTTTAAACAGAACCCTGTGCTCATCCTGAAGATGTTCACTCCTTTCTAATCAGCTTTATTGCTTTACTTTATTTAGTCACATAAACAAGATTCTTCATCTAGCTGCGATCTGCTGCTTATATTAGACACAGTAACATCATTAAGACAAGTTCTGACTCTGAGCCATCTAAGAATCAATCTGAGGGATTTGGGTTCTCGATCAGGTCCAACTGATGATCTCAGGGTCACCCAGAAACCTGACAGATTCCAGGAGGGTCTATTCTAAGCCTCTAACCAAGGCCACACGCAGCAAACCAAGAATTTACAACCCCAGGGGCACCGACCCAGTTTTAAAACATGTCAATAAGTTAAATCCATCATTCATTCATGTAAGTCCTGAACTGAATTCTGTTAGTTTGTGCAACATCTGGGAAAAAAAAGAGACTCACTTTGTTGACTTTTTGCAGGCTGGTGGTGGGGAGTGCAGCCAGGGTTTTGTAGTCAAGTTTTAAAGGTCCACCGCCAATGTTCTGGTGAAAATAAGAAAAAACTAAGGTAAGAACAATGTCCGACCAGTATACACACAGATTACCAAAACAGTAAATGGATTTCTTTAGTGTCTCCGTTCTGTCAGTAACTGGGAAACAAAACCATCAATTTGTTTATTGATGCATCAAATACATGAAGAAGGAAATCCTCTCTATATAAATCTATGTAAAAAGATCTTTGATTAGTATGTCTAAATTCAGCTAGTAGGGGTTTAGCAACAGACTGGGCTTAACTCCGTCATGCACACCTTATAAGCTAACCTGGTCTAAACCAGACTGATGCATGTAATTCCTTCTGAGTTTGTGAATTCACAAAACTCGTAACAATTCCTCTTGCTTGCAAAATAACGTTTCCAATCAGGAAGACAACAACAAGAACTAAACAACATGACCAGAGTGGTTTTTAGACCAATTATAAATATACGAGTGGTGCTGCTGACTGAAAATTATTGCATGAATAAACGTGCATAGCTTCTAAGTGTGCTCAGAAAGTTTCCAGACAGGCTTATTTTTGCATCTCTAGTTTATTCTTAGAACAATATCCTCATTTTAGCCTCAGCTAAAATAACTTCTATCAATCACAGCTTTTATGTTTCAGCCTCACTTTAACCTGCAGAAGCTGTTGTTTCAGTTTGCTCTAAATGCTGTAGGTGGCCTTAATCCATATGGATACATGTTCAGGGTGAAAAGAGAGACTTCTTGATGATGTTCTGAGTCTTTCTTTGAAATTAAAAATCACAAAAAAACTGTGTTTCTAGGACACTTATCTTACAACTCTTCTCCAGGTTAGCAGCCGTTTGATAACAAGTCAGCTTCTGTTCATTTTAAAAATTTAACAATGTTCCAAGGCCAATAAAAAATTTCTGGCATAAAATCTCACAGAAAGAGACATTTCTTTATTCTTATTTCCACCCCATTATGCCCCTTTTTTTGGAATAAACTGTTTTAGGGTTGGGTCACTTTTATGCAGATATGTTATACCCTTATATTACCACAATCTCAGTTTACAGTCCAATCTGGTTAGAGTAAAGTTAAAAATTGGCCATTGATGATATGTTGGCCTCCTGTCAGGTTGGTGATGAACCCACCAATCGTGACGAATCATCGGTGTTGTTCCGTCACCTTAAGCAAAGCCTGCAGCTAATTTCCATCATTCACATATTTACATCAGTCCTAGCATTTAATAACCAGCCGATCTACTAAACCAGTTGGGCTTAATGTCTTTGGTCTATTAAAATCTAAAACATTATAGAGAACAGACCAGGTTACACATTAAAGGTACATTTTGAATTCCTTTACCTGGAGGGATAATTTTAGGTCTTTTAAAAACAAGGACAGAGTACTAAAATCTTGTCCCTTTCTGAAAATGTCCTAAAATTCTATATGGAACCAGTTAAAAGTAACTAAATAAACTTACCGGTAAGTAGAAGCAGCTTTAGTTTCGCTAATCTAGAATACTCTGAACTGAGCGCCGCAAGTTGCTTTAAATCAGATAATAAACATATTATTTAGAGCGGCTTTTGACTGTGCTATCTAAACATAATAGTTACGTTTTCAGTCAAACTTTTCTTTAATTTATGTCATCATCAGCTTTTTTTTCCTTTATATAATAATTTAATTATTCATTTTTATTTGTTTTAATTACTTGTGTTGCCTTTATGCCTTCGCAATGTACTTTTTTTTTCTCATCTAGAGCACTTTGAATGATCTAGTACTGAAGTGTGCTGCATCAATAAACATCCCTCATCAAAAGAAAAAACACAAAGAGCTGCACTTAGGGAAGCCCTGATGACTAATCAAATGATATCCAACATCCCACAGCTGGAGCTGTAACAAGGAGAGCAGTAAACACGGTTCATCACTGCTCTTCTTTAAAAGGACTAGAAATTTGGAAATGTTCCACAACTGAAGTTAACCAACTGTCTGGAGTTTTTACAGGAAAAACAGGCCAAGCAAACAGAAATACGTGAGCACAGAAACTTTTAATCCTCAACTTTTCATTGTAATTATAGCTCAACATCTCATAGTCTTGACTTAACCTTATCCTATATTATTTTTTGTGTAAAACTGGTATATTTGTACAGTTTGTTTTCAAGGTTAATCTCTTGAAGCCTAACTTCAATATTTGACATTGACGTCTCCCCCCCGTTTCGATAAATAAGCACTCATCCATCCGTTGACAGTGGATGCTTTCATTTAGCCCAGCATAATGTCATCTTCTATTAAGGTGTTATTTCATTCCATTTAAATCTATTTATTCATTTAATTTAGGACAATAAGCATCAAATCAAACACGTTGGCATTGTTATACAGCTAAATTTGTATCCGATGTCCTAAGGCAGGTAAGAACAAGAAGCATCCAACACAAAGGACAGATTGAATTTAAAGTTGTGCTTGAAAGTTTAGATATCCTCCCATTAAAGAATATGATAAATTCAAACTAATAATTCAAATAACACATCACTGAAAAAGTAATAAAAAATTACAAAAATGTAAGTAAAACAAAATATTGATTCTGAATTTTTTATCTTGAAGAATTATGACAAACTCTCCCAGATAAATGAAAGTACCTTGCCTTTGAACAGTGAAGCCACAAACCTGTCAGCAGATGCAGAAGTCTTACTGAACATTTGCTGAATAATACAGTAAACACCTGATTTCAGTGATTGTGTCAAAGTGTTGCTAAGCAAAGTTTGTGTCCAGGAGCTCCATCAGGTTTATTTACTTGTTCTATTTGTTCTAATCTATACCATATCCATTGTGTTCCTTTTTATCACTACTTTTGTCAATTTCAACTTACTGGCAGCTGATTTGTTTCTAATGGAAGGGTATTTAAAGCATCAAAAACAACTGTAACACATTTCTTCTCTTATGCTACAAACCTGATGTCCTCTTTTCATTTCTTCTGTTTTGGATACATTTTAGATTTCTAGGCTCAGCTACACTGTCTTGATGGCTCCATGCCTTTTGTCATTCTACCAGAATAGTTCCCCTTTCCAAACTTTCAAATTAAAAGATATTTTGAAATTGTTGATCAGCTAATTACTGGTTCTTCTTTAGTAACTTTCTGGTAGAGAAATATTTCCACAGCCACTTTTGTTCATGTTTGCAGCTCAGTCTGCAGGTTTGTTCTGATGACATGCCTCTGAGCAGGGTCTCACCTCCGTCTCCTCTTCTAGCAGGCGAGTTGCCTCCTCACGCTCCAAACGCATACGCTCCTTCACCATGAGAGGAAGAGGAGCAGCAAAGAGGAAGACACCCAAGCGCACACAGAGATGCGATGAAGACGGAGATCATTTACAGACGAGGAAAGTATTTTTGCAGATGAAGGGGTAGGGATAAAGCAGCAAAAGGAGGTGGAGGGATGATTATGTGTCACACCAAACACACCAGAAGGAGAGGTGAGAGAGAAAGACAGGAGGGTAAGAAAGAGCAGAAATCACACCGGTTAGAAAGTACACTATTCATGTTTCTATGGGAGCAGAAAAAGCATGCAAAGTGAAACATTGCAGGGACAACTCTCAAACAACACCCACACAGGGTGCAGACAGGAAGCTTCATCCATTCAGTCCCTTTCTCAGCTATGAAACCATATTTTCCTACTTCCTCGTTTGGCTAAACTGATTCACTCAATGTTAACCATTGAACCATTTCCAGTTAGACTCACCACTTTCTCCATCTCTTCTCGCTCCCACTGCGAGGTCTCTCTGACCATCTCAGACTCCTGCAAATAAAAAGTGCAACTTCAAACAGAGGTTGTTTTTCTCTCAGCAAACCTCAGCAGAGAGAGGACTACATGTAGAAGGGACAGTAAGCCATGGCCTTTAGCAGACACATTCCCTCAGAATGGTCGCTGTTCCAGCAGCCTAAATTGGCCAAAAAAACAACCGTGCCGATGCTTTGTGGCAGCATGGGTGTGTTCCACATGGCGTGCTCTAGCTAAGCTGGTGAAATTCCACCTCCAAACTGCTGCTGCAGCACAATTGTTGCACAAAAACATTTGATTCACCCAGTTAGTGATACTGAGCGACACAGCAGTTCTTCATAGGTGACATTTTTCTGTTCAGCTCACTCCGTTTGGGCTCTATGAGGTTTGAAATTGATGCTGTTGTTTACTTGGTACAAACCGTGAAACTGTAGAGCAGTTCACTGTAGGATTTGAATCATACCTTCTGTATGATTTCCATCTCCTCTGGGCTCAGATCCCGGTCTATAGAAGAGATGCTCTCCATACTGTTCTTGCGCACGATGCCTGTTGCAAACGGGTTGGCAATGATCCCTGGAGACGCCTGGGAAAAAAAGGAATTATTTGATTAAGAGTTTTGTTTCACTGCTCACTATTTTTTTTAACCATTTCTGGTAAACATCTAGAAGAATTGGCTTAAAATGTTTTTAAGCTTTACTGCCCCCTACAGGTAACCATCTTGTTAGAATATTACAAGGATCATTGAAACAACATTTGGTGTGGAAGTTGTTACATTCGGCTATTTTTTGTTGTTGTTAGCTGCTAAAAAAATAAACATGTAAGAGAAGAAGCTTTTTAGAAAGGATGTATATCAACTGTTCCAACAGATTGGTGAGCTTCAACAGGGATTTACGGTAAAAATCAGAAAACAAGAAGCCGAATGCTAATGCTAGAAAAGTTGCTCTGTTTTATTCTCATTCTCTCTCTTGCTTTCGTTAGACTTGTAGTTCTATTTTGAGGTAAGGTGAGTGCACCAGTAAATTGTATAAATGGTCGCAGTTATAACACATTCCCTACTTTACTAGTACTAAGAGTGTGACGCATCATCAGAGGAGGAAAATGAAGGGGAAGATTGAGTAAATGGCAATAAGCTAAGAATGAGACGGCGGCTGGACATCAACAGACTTTCAAAATGGTAGTTGTTAAAACTGCTTGT